AGCAGTGACGATCAAGTCTTTGAAGTCAGCTTCAGCCTCCACGTGAGTCCAAATTCGTTCATCATGTAGGCACGCTTCGATGAAAGTTTCCAAGACCAGTTTCACCATGGCTGAGGACGAAATTTCGTCCATGTTGGTGTTGTCACTCTCTAGTGCAAAGCGGAGCAATCTTGAAGCTTGCGCGGCGAATTCTTGATGGTCCACAATGTATTCGCTTGACGTTTCTGGGGACACCTTGGCTCGGAATGCGAGAAGAAGTGCTTCCGCTAAACCGTGCGCAATGGACATCTGGAGCCCATCTGATGGGTTATTCAAGTCCAGTTTGGGCAGTACCTGCACGATGGTTTGAATGCTGTAGATGAGAAATTGAGAATCCGGGCTTGAGCTGAACGACTCATCCTCAATGCAAGATCGTAAAGCCCGGGCGCAATACAAGAGTTTGAAAGGTTTGCCGGGAGGCAGAAGTTCCGTGGGCGACTTGTCTCTTGATCGTACGACTCGGACGAGTTCGGTCTGCGCCGAGAAGAGGCTGAGGAATGTGTACACCTCTCTTGATAGGCGCTCATCAGCGTCAAGCAGCTCGTAAAGATCATCGAAGTGGTGCATGATTTTGCTGTCAACCGGTGAGGTGGCACGCGTGGCGCGGGTTGGCGGGCTCTCTGGCGTGTTCAATGTTTTATGAACAATCAGGAGACCAGAGGCTACCTTTGAGTCTGCGATAGTTGTCGACTGTCCTGCGAGCAAAACCTTTTGGCCCATGTTGAACACGGAGAACTGGGTGAAACCACTCGCCTCACAAAGATACTTGTGCAATTCGTCGCAAGTATTCTCGGACCCGATGGTGATATTTTGCACCTTCTCTGTTATATACTTGCTTGCCATGATCTGAATCTTGAGTTCAATAGTCTCTCCTTTCTTGCCTGAAAACTCCGCCAGTCCCTGGATCTGCTGATCGGGGACTGGACTATACCGAGGACGTAGTTTCATGCCTTCAAGAAATTTTCGGAGGAATAGCAGAGACCGATCAAAACGCAGTTCCTCGGCGCGTATTTCGTCCTCCGAGGCGATAATCACCATGGGCTCATCCTCGCCACTCATGGTACCATCTGTGTATGATTTTAGCTTTGCTGCAGATGCCATAACCTGCTGCACCGAGCGGTCCACGAGAGAAGCATGTGTCGCGTCGATCACCTCCTTCGACCTTCGCGTGACAAGGTTGTTATCCAAGTACGTCCGGATGATGAAGTCTGTTGCTTGATTCTCAACAGTGTTTGGAGGCGCATCCAACATGACTTTCCACATTCTCTCGATCCCGGGTACTACAATGACATCCTCAACATCAGTGATATTTTCCGTGGTGCGTCTGATTGTGTGGAGAATCGACACCCTGATGAACTCGAGGACTTGTTCATTGTAGTCTTGGGGTAACAGGGTCGGCAAGTGTTTTTCGATGATCAAGTCCAAGAGGAGATTTTCGTCCTTGTTCTGTTTTATTCTCTCTGCATGTGTCAATGTCTCCCAAGCGCGAGCTCTGATGGATGTGGGGAGAGGTGAGAATGCATAGAAGGATGTCCAAAGTTCCTGCACGAGATCTGCAGTGAAGACTTCAGGCACATAGATAATGAAGTAGTACAGGCAAGCGGATCGCACCTCGTACATTGCCTCGATTAATTTGACGGGTACACTGCGAGCCAGCATCAGGTCAAATTGGTCACGCAGGTACGCAAAGTCGGCAATCAACAGTGCCAACAAGTTGAACTGCTGTGTGGCTTCAGCAACACCTTCACCTCCCAGCATTGGTAATAGGCAGTTCAAGGCTTGTAGATCACCAGTGGCGTATTCGACGTGGGCTTCGAGGTTCGAAGCCGCCTCGGACATGATCCGATTCCGCTCTTCCTCGTCAATCGTGGGAAAATTAAGTTCAGAGCGACCCAACGACAGAACGTTAGTCAGATGTTGGGCAAAGTCCCTCCGTATGAGCGGCGCTTGTTCAAGAGACGCGTTTTCCTCCATGGAGGCTTCGCGCAGCAATCGTATGCACAACTTTCGTGTTATCGGATCTGTGGGTATTCCAAGATGGAGAGGTGATATGCCAGTCTTAGTTCTGAGATTCTCAAACAGAAGAGCAGTGAACTGCAAGACGTGCAAATCGAAGCGCTGAATGGGATAATCAGATAGTTTTCGGCAGATGTAATAAAGTGCATGAAGGTCGTATACAGTAAAGCACATTTGAAGGAGATTGAAAATCTCATGCGCAGTCCGCGGGTCTTGGCTCTCGACAATGGTTTTCCAGATATTGTCTGTGTCGGCGTCGGTGTATGTCCCAGAGACGCAGAGGAAACCGACCACATTATGGGCTCGACGAATCAACTGGGGGTGGGAGTCGACCCCGACAATATAGTCGACCAATTGGTTCTCCTTGATGAACTTGACCAAGAACTTTACCAGGGGGTGAGACATTGCAGGCTGGGCTTGGCCACTGATATGTTCTTTGAAGACTTGAACAAGATCAGTTGACATACTGTCGACGCCGGAAACTCGAAGTTCCATTCGCCCATTGGTGATGAATTTGCGAAGCGTCTTGAACTTCCAGGCGTATGGCATCGTGCTGGGAAGGTCAGTGAGATCCGAGTCAGCGAACCCAACTCCTGCTGCAGATATTATGTCCTTGCCGATCTGCGGGATATCGACCGCGATTGTCGACACCATTGGATTCAAAAGGTCAATGATCTTCCCCGCGGTCTCTAGATTGAGCCATGCCGCTTGTTTCACAATGGCTTGCTGAATGGCATGGTCTGCTTGTAAAATTATTTCCGCAGCGCTGTTGCGGATGTGGTCAAGTTGTGAGAAGTTGGCATAGACAAAATTTGTCTCGGTACTGTACACATTGGAGATCGGAGCCATGATACAGTTCGTCACCGAGAGCAAATTGTGGAAAGGTCGAAATAGATCAGCTCGCTTCGGTATTAGAGCGCATATTTCGGCCATCAAGGCGGAGATGGATGGTAAGAGAGACACGGTCGCCGGGTTTCCAAGGCGATCGATGACGAGCGTGTAGAAGTGGGTGCGATCGAAACTGTGTGCCCGACACAAAGCGTCGTAGAAAGGAATGCGGACCGAGAGGATCCATGTCAGTGGTTGTATGTAGTTAGCACACACCAAGCTGAGTGACTTGAGCTCGCCGAGTTCTGCATCCTCACGGAGCAAACGAAGTCTTTGGGTGTCAAAGTCCATCAGGAGCTTGGCAATCTGAGCAAAGGCGACGAAGAAGTCGACGAGGTCTTCGGTCCGAGCTCCAGGAGGTGGACCGGCCTCTCTTCGCAGCAGGCCTTCGATGAGATCTGGGAGTCGTTGCCAGAAATCCTTCTCCTCTTCAAGCAGTGTCGGGGGAAACTCGTCACAGATGGAGACAAATTCCATCATCCAGTCCTTGACTTGACGGAATATAGCCCCATTCTGACCACCAGCGTGTTGGAAGTTTTCCGATATGCGGACAAGCACTCTATGCGTACTCCCTGGGGCCCATTCTTGAGCAAAGGGGAATGTGCGATTTACATAGCCAGCTGGGACCGGCTGCAGGTGGTCAGATGCGGATTCACTTCCCCCACTAATACGACCCGTCCACCTTGTCTGGTTTGGATCTTGGTCGAAGTCTTCAGGCTCAGCAACCTCGATTTCAGGGCTCTTGCTTGGGGAGGAAGATATCGAGATGATCTCTGCCGACTCGGTCGCATGTGGTTGGGGGCCAGGTACCGCATTGTCATCCCCCTTTGGGTCGGCACAACCAATGGGGTTTTGTGGAAGCGAGGGATTGGACGGCATATCTGCTGCTTCAGCCTCGGCGGTTGGTTGTGTGATTGATTGTGAAGACAACGGGCGGGTATTGATGGTAACCTTGCTGGTAGGAGATATGAGAGCGGGAGGGGCTACAGTTCTGGGAGGCAGCGGCGGAGTCTTGACGACAGCTCTTTCCTCATCCCGGTTGGCAAGGACAACTGGCACTGAAAGTGCGGGGTTGGAATTGTCTTGTTGGAAATCCGACATGACATGCGTCCCATCAGGCTTGGTATCACTCAGCCTTGGACGCTTGTGCTCGTGCTCAGGCAGCTCAGAACCTTCGGTGGAGTCGCTTCGGTTGCGAATCGAAGAATCGGACATTGAGGACGACATGTTACGAGAGTTGCATCTGGAATTCCGCAGGAGCGCGAGGTCCGCGTCCAAGAGAAGGAGAGCGGTGAATTCAAGACTGACCAGAGAATGAAGGGGTGGTTGAGGTGAGGCAGTGAGAGGTCTTGGCAAAGGCTGTAAAAGACCGCCACTCAGAGACAAGGCAAACCAGGATGACTGTCGGATCAGGAGAGGGTGAGCAACGGCTAGCGACTGATGCCCACGAGGGTCTTCACTGCATGGACAGCCGATCTCGTAGAGATTGACTGATGTCGACTTGGGCCATGTCTCTCGGCCAGGGGATGTTGAGTGACGGATGGAGACACGGGAAGAGGCTTTGTTCAGCGTGTGGTGATGAGAGGCGGGGCCCAGGTGCTAGTCTTGGGGGGTGGGAAATTTACGACATGAGATCGGGAGACGCAGAGGGGGATATTGGATAGTCAGGAGATTTCTACTGATAGGCACGTAGAATGTAGATTCTTTCTGAGGATGGAGAGGAAGGAGAAAATAGTCTAGATGGTGGTGGTTTTTGTGAGTCGAATGGTCGTTGGACAGAGATGGGACCAAGGCTCGCAGGCTGCCGTTGACTTACAGTAGACGAAGTTGTTAGGGGACCCGGCACAACTTGCTTATTGGCGGTCCCACCATCACCAAATTCACCAAACTCACCAAAAACGCGTCTGGCGCGTGAGCTGCCCAGCTAATGGAAGCATGGAGGGGCTTCCCAGTCCTGCTAACTAATCCTGGTATTCTCACACGTCATGCTCCCCCCTGCGCCTTGTCAGTCACCATCACAAAGATTTTTCTTGGGTGGATTGCCAGTATCGGTGGGCATGGACAAACGAAAGAAACCAGCAGTTGTGCATTCTTTATCCCTCCCATATCCAGAGCCACAATGGTATGTCTCTCTCTAGTGAGGAAAACATTCCTGCAGTCTACCACCCAACTAACTCTAATTCTTTTGCCAGGCCCACCATCTCTCCTGACACTGAGCAGGCACTCCTACAACTCCTCCTCCGGCTACTACAGCCCATTGGCGACCTCAGACGCGACCATGTTCTGCGTTCCAAGGGCAAAAGAAGAGGTGGGAAAATAAACAAGAAGATACAAGAAGACTCTATGCCAGAATGGATGCCTGATGTTTACGACCATCTAACTCTCGGATTTAATACCACGGTCCGCAGGCTTGAATCCTTAGCTCACCAGCGGAAGCCCAAAGTGCTATCTCAGCACACGAACGACGACTCTTCACCGGGACATACGTTTGCAAATCTCTCAGTTGTCTTTGTTTGCCGCCGCAATCTGCCTGACATAATGACTTCGTCCATACCTTTGCTGTTAGCATCCTCGGCTCCCGCAACCACCAGGGCCAGACTAGTCGAATGGTCTTCACAAGCCGAAGAGCAGGTTGCTCGAGCACTGCACCAGCCTCGTGTCGGTGTGCTCGGAATTGGGGAAGGGGCGCCTGGCGCTGAAACACTTTTACGATTTGTTCAAGACAATGTTGACGCAGTTGATGTTCCCTGGCTAGACCATACACCCAAGCCCACGTACCATTCCGTCAACATCCAAACAGTCGAGTCAGTTTCCAAGCCCAAGGCCACACTCCAAAATCGGAAACGAAAGAATCCCGGAGACGGCTGAGAGTGCTTGAAGCTGGTGAACTGGAAGACTGATGCAATCGTCAACGGATGAATGGAATCCGGACGGGGACACGTCTGCGGTATTCAATGTAGTCTTCACCAAAGAAAGAAACCAGATGCCGTTCTTCGTCTGTGAGCGAAACCGTTAGCACATCGAGCTATGGAGGAGGCATGAAGCAGCGACTTACGAATAATCCGATGGTGGAAGAACTTCCACAATACCACGGCATATATTACAAAGCAGATGCGGTTCCCTAGCAGCACTTGCGTTCCCAACCCCCACCAGAAGAATCCGAAATAGGATGGATGTCTGGAGAAGGCATAGACTCCGTCTGTCACCAGGACATGGTCTGCTCTCTTGGTCCACTGGACAACATGATTGAAGTTTGTCTTTGCCTGTCGCATGGCGGCACTTCTGACAAGTTGTCCCAGGATGATCAAAGTGGCGCCCAACCCGACAGTTATTGAGGACGGAACTGACGGAAATATCCTTGGGATCTGGAATGGTAGACTCAGCCAGACTGGGGCGTACTGAGAATACAGCCAGTACCGAACCAGCAATTCAAGCATGGCCGAAGAGTGCGCAGCCGCGTACCCAACACCGTTTGAAAGTAAGAGAAAAGACGAGATTGAGGCATCTGGAGGATTGTATCGTGCTGTCATGTCAAATTCGAGGTAGTGAAACAGGGCCAGTGCTGCAACAAAACATGGTGCCCTCCAAAGTCCATAACCACAATACACCAACTCCACGGTCAAGATTGTAGAAATGCCCAGCGCAATGCCCAACCCAAAGGCGCGAATCGCAACCCCTGATAGTGCCCGTTTGCCTCCCGGCAGGTATTGCGGTGGGATGTACATGGGCTGCAAATTCGCGCGAGTACTACCATTGATGTGTTCTTGAATCCGATCTCTGGGGAATTCATGGATAATCCCTGGGGAACTGGGCGCTGAGGAGTCCGACATGCTTTCCAATGCCGACACCTCTAACAGGCGGAATAGAGGACACCTGGGATGTGGCTGTTTAGGGGGTTGTTGTCCTGACGATCGTACAAATTAAAATGCCCACACTTTGGGAACTTGCACAAATGACATCTTCAAATAAGCCAAAAGAATGAGTGGATCAAAGAGAATTGCATTACTTGAAAAGAACAATAGTAAGGAAAACGCCTGAAGGGGGTTGTCGAAAGGCTCAAAGCGTCTGCAGAATTGTGTCATCCGACTCTCCTCGAAGAGGCTGCCAAACAAGCCAAACACGCCAAACAAAGGCTCGGCATGTTCTTTCGCATCAATGATTTTCCGGACCCGGTTTCTCTGCTCATCTCCTTGACGGGGCCATGCCATCTTCTTCCTTTTCCCTCTCCATCAGCCACTCCAACTCTTGTTGTTGGGCTATTTTGGAATAATGTGTGATCATCCAGAGTGGCAGAAAGCCCAACGAGGCGAGCTCTATCATGCTTTTGTCCCCGAACTCATCGCAGCTCGAGACCGATGTAAGCAAGCCTGTGATAAGTTGAATTCCTCTGAATCCACCACCCGGCGCCGAGTAATCGAACTGTGGAGAGAGTAGGTCGACGCAAAATCGGTCACACATACAAAACCCTCCTGGGGTATAGTCTCATGTCTGCCTTGCAGGATTACTAACGACACCCGCCCCCTGCCACCTCTGCAGCCATCGTCGGTAGACGACGACAGGCTGTTCGAAAAGGAGCCTTGGATCTGCGGTCCACTCCGTGCTGATTACGGCTTCAACATCTTTCTTGGCCAGGGAGCTCAATTGAATTTCAACTCGACCTTCATTGACACCTGCCCCATCCGCATTGGCGCTCGTACCTTGGTTGGACCGAACTGCAGCTTCTATGCTGGGACCCATCCTCTTGACCCGGCGGTTAGGAATGGAACCAACGGTCCCGAACTTGGAAAAGAGATAAACATTGGCGAAGACTGCTGGCTGGGAGGGAACGTTATTGTCTTGCCCGGAGTGACGATTGGCCGAGGCAGCACCATTGGAGCCGGAAGTGTAGTGACAAAGGTAGCGAGCTTGAGGCTCTCCTTACTTCTTGCACCAAAATTTCCCATCTGACTTCTTTACAGGACATTCCTGCCTTTCACGTAGCGGCCGGCAATCCTGCGAGGATTTTGAGAAAGATCCAGACTTCGATAGACCCGAGTCAAGATAACTCAACAGTTGCGAAGAAAGAGAGCGAGCAGGGAGCGGAAGGTGTGATGTCTGCACGATAGACCTTCAAATTCACTGGCAGTACTTGTTTCATGCGCTGCTTCTAGCTCCTCTGCATAGTGGTGCAAGTCTCAAGCCTCCATATTTGTCCTTGGCTGCGCCTTGGACGCTGACAAGTAACGCTTCCAATCTCTCCACTTCTTATCCGGTGACGAATTCTCTGGATATCAGGGACGAACATTGCACTAGTTGTCTGCCAAGTCTCGAGATATCTTAGACCGATTGCATGGTTCCAAGGCACTTGTCGACTGACTGTTCAAGTCCACTTCTCATACTCTGGGAAATAGAGGCTGTGGATTCTTTCCGCATACTTGACGACACTCGCAAAACTTTTTACGAGTGTCTTTGACTCTGGAGCGCTGAGGCACGAAATCAATAAGAGCCTGCGAGGCTATACAAGATTGGGATACTCACCTGTCACTGACAAGCACAGACACTATGAAGCCGAACAACGTCGCGTCGGCCTCCGATGGCTGCTCGCCCCCAAGCAGCCAGACAGGTTCGTCATCGGCTGAAACCTGCCGCAGACGAATGCTGAGGACTTGGTTGATCGATCGCCAGATCTCCGTCTTCAAAACTCGCACCTCGTCGTTGGTCAGGCGTCCCACTCCTTGACCATGCAATGTTTGCGTCACACCTCGATAAATGAGAAACCCAACTAGTACGCGCACTGGGAACGGCATCGACCAAAGGGCTTTGTCTCTTTGGACATAGAAATTTTCGAGCCACCGCTCGCGCATCTGATAGAAGTGTCAATTCCCCCGGAAGATGGCCAAAATGTCGAAAACTACTCACGTGGTAGAAATACAGCTTATCTTCCAGCAGGGCACGAAGAGCAAGATCTTCTAGCTTCAATTGCTCCGACAAGCTCCCATTCAGATCTGGAATACAGCCCATGCTCAGTAGCCTCTGGATGATCAACGTCGAGTCTCCCAAGAGTGAGGGTCCGTTGTGGCCATCGTTCTGGAGAGGACCGAGATCCACATAAGGGATTTTACCCTTTGGCGCAACTTTTGCTGACCCTGCTTCGACATCGTAAGCCAGGCCAGCATGTCGAAAGCGGAATTCGACCTTCGTCACGAAGGGCGACCAGCTGTATACTCCCTTTTCAGGCCAGCCACGGGAGAGGATTAACTTGGAGTTTCCGGCTGACATTCTCTTCCAAGCTGATGAGAGCAGTGAGGTCCAATTGTTCGATGACTGCACAGCTCAAAGACACGAACCAAACTTTGCAGTATCCAGGAATCGGAGTTCTCATTGATATATTTACCCCAGGACCTCAATCTCGTCTAGCAAGGCCGGGGCCAGTCGGCGTCTGATCTCTCAAACACCGACTCGGCTCGGAGCCACCGCGAACCGGCCCAAACATCCCCTTGGCGAAACAACCGAAGGGACAGGCGCACTGACTTCCTTGATATTTTGTTTCATGTATTCGGTACTGTCAGGAAGCTGGTAAGGAGACGATGGGAGAGGGACGATGACTTTCGGGCATGAAATTCCCCTTTTGAAATTCGGAGGATATCTGCTCCAAATAACATCAGCCAAGTTGGTGCAACAAGGAAAGATTTTGCTGTCAACGAGCAGAGGCATTCCTGGCCATTCGTGGTGCGGCAGAGAGTGGCAGCTTCAACAGCCAAGGCGAAAGATTTCAAGTCAACCCAGATGGCTCCCACAAAGGTGAATGAAAAGAACACCACGGTCAAAATTACCCAGAGTTCAACTGAGCAAAAACTCACTCCTCGATTTCATCCACATTATTTTGCGGTGTGCACGAGGAGTGAGAAACCTTTCCCATTGCTTTTGCAGCAGGTGGTTTTTTGGAGTAACAATCATCCGAAGCACCCAACTAGGTGAAATCCTTCCTGTAGCGTTGCACAGGAGAGAGACCCTAGGGCCCGTCCGGCTTCATCCGAATTGTTGGAGGAAAATAGACAACAATAATATATGAAGGATCGATGTGGAGAGCTGGGTAGAGGTCTGGCAGAATTCTGAGGACTTGTATGGGTGGGGACAGTATATCTTCTTTCACATCCCTCAAAGGTCATGGATCATATGCCCTTCCACTGTCAGCCTACTTCAAGTCCACAATGCCCGCGCGCGGCGATACTATCCTCCAAGCTCGTCCACTACCTAGCAACGCCGAAGAATGATTTGATGGGATCTTACGATTTCACAAGGACATGGCAAGGCCTTAGCAAGGCCACCTCGCCACCAATGGATATTGAAGTGTACATCATCTCTGGGGTATTGGTACTGTCGATCCTGGGAACGGTTGTTCCGTCCGTGAAGTTATGTACATGCCCTCTTCCGTTGATCTTGGCCTTGGCCTAGACCTATGGACTAGGGGGGAAGGTATACTGAGGCATCTTCTCATTCCCTAGACTAGGGGTTCGTTGCGAGGGCAAGTAGGGCAGACGAAGCTCCCTGGTGCGCAGTGAACCAGCTCTTAGCAACGGGGTCATCATTCGCCATGCAGCTCCGTGAGGTCGGTTGGAGAGGAGGCAGACTAGATTCTATGGGCTTGTGCTTGAGCTCATGAGCAATGCAGGACGACAGGACAGGTATACCTACCAGAGTAGCCTGGCGGGCCAAAACCAAAACCAGAACCAAGACCAGAAGCGCACGAGAAGTCAAGTCAACGCCAAGTCAACGGGCACACAGATCTCCATGTAAGTAAGTAGGAGGTATGTAGAGAGCATGCAAAGCTCGTTTGAGCGAGTCATGAATATTCCGAAGACATGGCACCATAAATAATGGCGACCACG